GTGGTGCGATTGGTAACTTGCACTTCCCGAATGCGAATTGGGTTTTAAACATTCTTTTGCAATCGAATGTTTTGATGTTCTCAGTTTTAGATGCAATGCTTAGTCCATCCCGATCCAAAAATATCGTACCAATTTTCAAAAAACAGGTAATTTTACAGGTTTATTTATTCATGCTATGATATAAATTGTCATTTATATTAACTTGTTTTTACCCTTAACAGATATTTGTTCATGAAGATTCTAGGATTCAAATTAGACTTTATGATAAAAATATCGATTTAAATAGTCAAGACATTACGGCAGCAGAGATATTCAAAACACAACCAAAGACCGTTGAAGAATTTGAAACTTTTCTCCAAAATCTTGATGCCAGTCCTACATGCATAGGAGGACCTTTATTATCAATGTATAAAAATGTAAACCCTGAAAGTGCTTATCGAGATCGTACTGTTTGGAGGCATAATAAATGTTTCGTAATTTTACAAACAGGAACAATATGTAAATTGTGCTTTGGACTATATAAAACGTTGCCTCAGAATTTGTCTAGAAAACAAGAAAGAAAGATTAAAATTCGATTACCTGTATCTCCTTCCAAACGATTAAAAATTGATAATATCAGGAAAAGAAGAAAAGTGATAGCTCAAAGGTTAACTCGTAAAAAAAAAAATTAGAAAAAATAATGAAAGATCTACACGATGTTCACCAAAGTTTGCTAGATTTAAAAGAAACTACTTTTGAAGCACAGCTGAAACAACATTCAAAAAATATTTCTGACAAACAGGTAAACAAATTGACTTTAATTTAATAAGTAACCATATGAAGTTCATCGGAAGTTCGCGAGTTAAGAAAATTATTCTGAACAGGATTGAATTGAAATTGAAAAAAATATCCGTTGATTAAATAATTAACTAAATATACTCTAATTCTATGAAGTATTGGCCCTCGTGTGACAAAAAAAAATTTTTATATTATATACAATTATTTTTATAATTTTTAATCATGTTAAACAAATGTGCTAAGTAAATATAAGTAATTTTTTTTTGCATTAATGAATTTTAAATAGATAGTATCAACTAAACCTTCAAATAAGTTGCTTGTATTATTTTAATTTTAATAAGCTTCATTTGCATTTAATTCAGATTTTATTAATCCAAGAGTGTTTTGCTGCTGGTAAGAAAAGTAAACCTACAGGACGACGGTACTCGGATGAGTGGCTTCTTTTGTGTTTATTGCTTTATATTTGCAGCTCTGCAGCTTATAATATGCTTAGAAATAATAATATTCTGCAATTACCTTGTAAAACCACTATAACAAATTACTTACGAGCATCAAATGTCAATTGTGGTTTCGATAACAATTTTTTTAAGCTTTTCGCGGAGAGATTGGAAGGTTTGTCAGATCATGCAAAAAACGGCATATTGTCTTTCGATGAAATATCTGTGAGAACGAGTGTGGAAGTTAACACAAAGACTATGACGTTTGAAAACTATATTTTTAAAAAACTATATTTTTAATAGGTTGATGGTAGTCAAATTAAATGGAATTACTACAAATGTTTATATTATCATGACTCTCGTAGTGATTTAAGAGTGTGCCCTAAGTTAACAGAACGGCACGTCATACCGATTCAATCCATGAAAATGCGCGTTTCTCTTGCTACACAAGTAAGCACATTTATTTATGATTATGCTTTGTTGTTTTTTATTAATAAGAACTGTATGTCTATTGCGTATAATTTACGGGTTATCGTTTAAAATAAATTTTCAGATATTTAGTAAAAGCGTTGCACATGGACTACAGTATTATTTAAAAGCAGAGGAAAAAAATCATTCAAATATAAATGAATTTGAAGGCTGCGAAGCAACTATCAACTTTTCTCTGCGTATAAACGACATGTTTAATACTTTGAATAGATCTTACCCTCGTGAAGGCATAAGAGAAGGCAGCAAAGACTTTCAAGTAATGGCTAGAAAAATCATATTATTCTATTCACTTAACATATAATTTATCTATTTTAAAATTTATTATTAATTTTTTATAGATTCTTCAAGAATCTATTGAATGGCTAGATGCATGGGAAAAACAACAAAAAATTAAAGACCTTTTTTTAACTAAATCGACTGCTGAAGCATTGAGAGTAACTCTGTATTCAACAATTCATTTGACTAATTACTTATTGAAAAGCTGCGGGTTTTTATACGTACTTACAAACAAAATGAATCAAGATTGTTTAGAGGTATTGATACATTTTTACAACAATAATCTTTTTGGATAATTCTGATTTATAATTTCTTGTAGCAATTTTTCGGTTGTATACGACAAGCTGGTTGTCAAAATGATCACCCAACACTTCACACCTTTAAGCAGTTACACCACCTTCTTTCTATTTATCAAATTTTGAAACCTCCTAAAGCTGGAAATTGTTCTGTTAGAGAAAATAACAAGCAACCTAAAAAAATTACACTAGAAGATCTTAAAAGATCATTCCCAGATATTAAAAAAAGATATCGCCACGAGCACTTAAACAACTTAAAAACACAGTTAGAACATCTGACTGAGTTCGACGAATGGGAATGTGAAGATCTTTTTGACAGCGACATTTCATTAAGTGAAACAGAGGACTGTGTTATTTATTACATCAGTGGGTTTGTTGTTAGAAGGTTACGAAAATGGACAAAATGTCAAAACTGTACAAAAGCATTTATTTCTTCTTATGAGAATCTAATCTCAGGAGTAGCTGCAGCGGACCTAGTAGACATTAAAAGTGAAGGCGGTCTAGTACATCCTAATATTCATTTATTTGAATTATTTAAACAAATAGAGGTTTTTTTTCAAAAGCATAAAAATACCATTAATGTCTACCAGTTGGTCATTGACGAACTCCTAAACTGTAATTACCAGTTTACATTTCCCTGTCAACAGCATAAAAGTGATATGACATCAAATTGCATCCACTACTATCTGACTATGAGGATGAGCCAATACTGCAAATTAATAAACAGAGATAGCGATAAAACCAGTCAAGATATAAAGAAGAAAGCAAAATATTACAGTGCTTGAATCACAGTTGTTTGGTACAATAATTTATTTCAATGTATCTTATTTCACGATACATGTTTTATATAATGTTTACATATTGTTGTTTATTAAGTGTCGAATTATAATTTTCATTAAGTCACTAAAAAGATGTTTTTTATTCAAACACGCTTTTTTTCAAAAACTAACTCTTATTCCGTTCTTAAATGAAGGTTTCAAATAATTTAACTCCTAAGAATATAAGTACAAAAATTTCTCTAAAAAATAATAAATAAATAACGATAAATGAAAAAATACCGATATGGCGAGTGTTGGAGCATTAACGAAACAGTGCGCTTCATATATTTAGCTTAATTGGTTAATTAATTTGACATGAATATTAAAAATTCATTTCGAACAAATAATAAACATACGACTAGTATTTTTAATTATAGTACAGTTGTATTGACATCGTTAAAAATGCGTCCGATTAGCAGATTGATTCTTCCTTTTCTTGTTGAATAAATGCGCTTTTCATCAAATAACAATATTTTTTTATAAACATAAAATAGATGAATTTTCTGTGGAAATAACAAAAAAAATAGGCAACGGGATTTGAACTCGCGATGCAAAATCCGTAGGCCGAGAGGCTGTTGCCTTAACCACCGTGCTTATACGATAGGCAGTGGTTAAAAGTATGTGATAAAGTCGTATGCTTAGGAGCTTAGGATACAAACTTGTGGATGAGCTTGCGTTATAATGTTTAAATAAATTGAACTATTAACGGATAGTATTACATAAAAGTAACATCGTTATTACAATTACGATATGAAAATTTAAATTGAAGATTGTGAAGTTATGATCACATAGTATCAATCTTTCATACATTGTTGTTTATAAATAAGTTATCAATAATTTATTCAGAAAAATATGAAAATAAAGGAATTATAAATCATGTAATTACAATCAATTACTGAAAAAAAACATAGCGATGGGATTTGAACCCACGATGCAAAATCTATAAGCCGAATCTATAATATTCTAACGTACAAGCCGGCTACCGTGCTTGTACGTTAGAATATAATTAGAAGTATCTGATAAGCTTGTGAGCTTGGGGGCTTGAGTTTAAGTAATTAGATTTTCTTGTCCTGCTTAAGTTATTCGGTGCTTAGGTTTAACAAATTGGTGTAACAATTTGTACTAATGCACACTATATAATAACAGAATAAACAAAAACAACTTTTTATCCACGCAAAATCCAATAAATATTTCTATTTAATATAGCAGGTACATTAATGGATTCGATACAATACTGAATCATCATCGAATTTGAATAATAGAATCAATAAACATGAAAAACCTGTAAAAAATTCTCGAAATTTGCAAAGAGAAACAAGCGTGAGGAGCAATGCGCATGCTCACTCTTTACACATGCACGAGTCTGAGAGTTTGTTATAGGTGTGGGCCAGGAGTAATATTTTTCTGTGGCGCCGCTCTCGTGGCCGTGACTGGCGGCTCCTCAAAATCGGCACACGAAATCCGTGGTGGGGGTAGGGAGATAACCCACCTTTCTATCTTACACCGTGTCAAGTATCGATCATCTATATTCATTCTTTCGAGAGAGTGAGTGACTGTGACTGAGCACATTTTCTATTCTTTTAACGTAAAAGTATATAACGTGTAGATGAATTTGAAAAAATATTTTGTCTATTTTGAGAAGAAAATAGACCAGAAATACTGTTAATGATTACGGTTCTCACAGTGGCCGGGGTGTATTTGTTTTTGTGTTTGAAGAATATTGCAGGATTTCGGCAAGTATAACATTGTTCCCTTTTATTGAGTACTTAACCTCCATTCCATATTAACAGTTTTCTACAAGTTTTGAATCATTTTACTTAGTCATGTGTTTATTGAAAGCATAATGAAAAACGATTATATATCATAGTTTGCATTGTTTATATACGCAGTATTTCATTTCTATTCCAGACAATTTTTGTTATCACATAATTCCACAATTGTGAACAAAGTATCCAAGATATATAGAAGCTCAGGAGCTTCTTATCAGGGAAAGTTGATTAAATACTGGATATATGCTAGGTGAATTAATTCTATGTGTTTAAATTATAATATTGTCTGTATTATGTGATAACACTTAGATCTCTACTCTGTATATGGAATTGTTTTTCATGTTCCAGGTAATCATATACCAACAAAGTAATAAGAATTGATAGTTCAAGGATTAAAGCTTGGCTGCAAAATTTTGAATTTCCATTTGCTTATGAAACCTCAGTGAGTACTATTATAATATTAGTGTACCAAATCCACCTTTAAATTTTATGTAAGCCAATGATAAACAATGACGTATCAGAATATTTGACATTTTTTTATGAAGTTAACTTGAAGAAAGTATTTCAACAATGAGGAAAGAATCGTTATATCCTATATTATGGCATCATTATCACAAATTATTTTAGATATATCCTCTTATGATGCAGCTTAATTCTATATCGATACTCATTTATGATTCATACTATTGATTTTTTCTTTTCAGATAACTTTTTCTTTCAAGATTAGGAGCAAGCCGTGATTTGTTTTTTCTCTGAAGCTTTCTACTTGAAAACAGAATCTGAATAATGATTGATGAGTTGAATATTGTAAAATTTAATAAGTCATAATATATTCAGGTGACTATAATATATACTCTATATTATTCTATATTCAATCTATAATTATTTTTATGTTTCAGAAAATCTTGTGCTTCATGTCTATTTCAAAGTTTGTCTCCTTTATTTGGCTAGGAATCTTTGGTGCGTATAATAACATAGTGATGTGATATTATTAGGTTCGTTACACTTGGAATTGTTTTTACATTATTTTTTAATTTTTGCCAAGTGTTCATTAAAAAAAAAAGTTGGAAAATATAAAAAATTTATTGTTGACATATTAGTGTACTCTATTTGTAAGTTACGAATAAAGATTATCATCTTTTTCCATAAAAACGTATTCACATATTCAATTATGTATCAATATAATATTTGTACATGAGACCAAACTAAACCGAACCAAACTTGAAACCAAACCGAACCAAACCTAACCAAACCAAACCAAATCAAACCAAACTTAAATAAACCAATCCAAACCAAACTAAACCTAACTACACGATACCAAACCAAAATACCAAAACCAAATTGACAAAGCCAAAGCATAGTAACGTAAAATAGAAAAGTTATAGCATGCTCTTTCAATAACTGGGTATTTATTGAATTATATATTTCATTATATTAATATTCAAATTATATTCGAACTAATATCGAAAAAATCGTCTTTTTATGTAGAGTAATTATTTGTTAATAAATTGTCAAAATTTTTTTGCTCTATTATTCGGAAACATGGGCAGACGAAAACTCACAGACGAAGAAGCAAAAGTTGCGAGCGCTCAAAAGCGTATTCGTGATGCAGAGAATGCATGCCTTAGGCGCCAAGCTGAACGTCAACGAATTATTGACAATAATCGAGCATCAAGGCAAAACGTTAAACATTATTTAGGACCTATGGATGTTCTATGTCAGCATTGTAAAGCTAAACATTTTAATGACGAGAAAGTTTCAAACAAAGGTTTATCTTTCAATGATTGCTGTGGTCATGGAACAATAAAATTAGATCCATTACCAAATTTTCCTCCTGAACTCAAAAATTTATTTGATGGAGAGCATAATAAATCATCAAGATTTTTTGATCGCATACGCCATTATAATAATTCTTTATCTTTCGCATCATTCAATGCCAATTTATTCAATTTTCGGTCACAAAGATCAGCTCCCTACTGTTTCAAAATTCAAGGTCAAATATATTATCAAATAAATACAGCTTTGTACCCTAGCGAAGGCGAAAATCCTGCATTCGGTCAGCTTTTTATAATTGATCAAAATGAAGCAATGCAGTATCGCATACAGCAAAATTCTGTTCTAGATTATAACTTGATGGCAATACTGGATGGTATAATCCGTAATAATAACATTTATGCAAAATCAGATGAAATGATGATAGATGAAATTCGTATGCAGCAATTGATTGCAGAAACTAATGGGAATACATCACAACCTGAATTGCAGTTATTATTTTCATTAAAACCAGGTCAAGACCATCGTAGATACAATTTTCAACGAGTAAATGAAGTTGCTGCAATATTTTCAACTAGCGCTGATGGAGAAATACCCGAATCTTACATAACAATTAGGAATAAAAATACAAAAGTCTTGCAATATGTCAGTTCTCTAGATCCTAATGTTGAACCGTGGATTTATCCTTTATTTTACCCATACGGTACACAAGGTTGGCATGTAAATATGTTTCGCACAGATCATGAACGTAAAATTACCCGACTAGATTATGCTAGGACCAGAATGGCAATCATAAATGACGATTTTAATCCTATCATAAGAGGACGTAGACTGTTTCAACAATGGGTAGTAGACAGTTACGTAAAAATTGAAAGAGATAGGATTCAATGGTGTAATTCTCATCAAAAACAATTAAGGGCTGATACGTATCAAGGTTTGAATGATTACATGAGTAATCGTGCAAATGATGTTGATGGGCAAGTAGGTAGAACTATAATACTTCCTTCAACATTTCTTGGTTCCCCTCAATATATGCAACAATGTTATCAAGACGCAATGGCTATTGTAAATGAAACTGGGAAACCTGACATTTTTCTGACTATGACATGTAATCCCAATTGGCTAGAAATAACTGAAAATTTATTACCAGGACAGCAAGCTGCTGATAGACCAGATTTGGTAGCTAGGGTTTTTGATTTGAAAAAAGATCATTTGCTTCATGTTGTTACAAAAGAAAATTTTTTCGGAAAAGTAGCATCTTATGTTTATGTTATTGAATTTCAAAAAAGAGGATTGCCACATATGCATTTACTGATCACACTGGAACAAGGCTACAAAATTACTACTCCTGACATAGTTGATAAATTCATCTCAGCCGAAATACCAATTGAGGTGAGAAATCCACGCTTATTTGAAATTGTTTTGAGAACTATGATTCATGGTCCATGTGGTGACTGGTGTATGAAAGATGGTAAATGTTCCAAAAATTTTCCAAAAGAATTCCAAGCCACAACTACTATCGACGAAAATGGTTATCCAAGTTACCAAAGAACAGATACCGGTGAAGAGTATGAATGCTCTAATGGACACAAAACCGATAATAGGTGGGTTGTTCCTCATTGTCCTGAGCTATTAGAAATGTTCGACTGTCATATCAACGTGGAAATTGTTTCCAGTATCAAAGCTGTTAAATATTTATACAAATATATTTATGAAGGACACGACGCCGCTACAGTGGTGATCGGAGAAGCTAAAAATCAGAACACTATTGAACACAATGAGTGTCGCAATTTTATTGAAACCCGTTACGTTGGTCCTGTGGAAGCATGCTACAGAATTTTCAGTAAACCACTACAACATAAAAGTCATTCAGTTACAAGATTACCCATACATCTACCTAATGAACAGGCAGTAATAATTACCGAAAATGAAGATGAAATAGCATTGTTAGCGTGTTTGAACAATTCAAGTAGCATATTACTTGATTATTTTACTTTGAATGCAACTAATGATGAAGCAAGACAGTATTACTACACTGACATTCCGAAGTATTTTAGACATATAAAGAAGAAAGTTGATGGGCAAATGACTTCGTCATGGGCAGCCAGGAAAAAACATTCTGATTGTATTGGACGCATGTATTCAATAAGCTCTACACATATTGAATTATTCCATTTACGACTGTTGTTATTGCACGTGAAAGGTGCCACAAATTACAATGATTTGAGAACTGTAGATAATATATTACATCCTTCTTTCACAGCAGCCTGTCTAGCGTTAGGGATTATTGAAGACGACGAGGAATGGAACAAAGCTATGAGAGAAGCAGTAAACTGGATGATGCCGCGGCGCCTCAGACATTTATTCGTTCGTATATTGATTCATTGTCAACCAATTTATCCTGAAAAATTGTAGGAAGCATTTAAAGATTCCATGTCAGAGGACTTTTCACGTAACAACGATTTGAATACTAGCTATCAAGAGGCTTATGCTGAAATAAATAACCTTTTAATTAAAGAAGGAAGAAGTTTAGTTGACTTTCCGACAATGAATCAAAATGTAATAGTTGATATTCTTAAAAATAATGATGATGAAGAAAACCGCCGATTGGAAATTGGCAATCAACAATATCAGAAATGAAATGCAGAACAAAAACAAATAGTTGATATCATTCTTGAAGCATCACGTTCACAGAATTATGCTGGCTCAACTTGCTTTTATATAGATGGACAAGGGGGTTCTGGAAAAACGTTTGTTTATACTACAATTTATAATCTTTTAATGTCAGAGAACATACAATGTTTTACGATGGCATACACGGGTATTGCTGCAACATTACTGCCTAATGGTAAAACAGTACATAAGACTTTTGGTTTACCGGTTCCTATGTTTCATGATTCATCTTCAAATATTAAAATACAATCTAACGAAGGCAAACTTCTGAAAAATGCTAAAGTTTTCATCTGGGATGAAGCACCAATGGCCCCGAGGTATGTTTTGGAAATCGCTAACAGAACATTACAGCATATAATGAACAATGACCTTCCATTCGGTGGAAAAATAATGATTCTGGGCGGTGATTTTAGACAGCTTCTTCCAATACAAGTTAATGGAACACGCAGTGAAATATTAAATTTGTCTCTAAAAAATAGTCATTTGTGGACATTTTTTTCCAAATTTCAATTAAAAACAAACATGAGGGTTTTGCCTAATGAAATCGAATTTGCTAAATTTTTGTTACAAGTTGGTGATGGAACGTTGAATGATGAAAATGTTAATCTACAGCTTCCAGAGCAAAGTGTACTTCCTGTAAATGAATGTATTGTTCAAAATATTTTCGGTAACTTAATTAAAGATAAGAAATTTGATGATATCACCCACTGTGCAATTTTATCTGCTCGAAATGCTGATGTAGATGAAATGAACATGAAAGTTACTAATCTATTAGATAAAAAAACTGAACACATCTACACTGGTATAGACAGTACAGAGAACTGCGACAATGGGGAGATGCAAGAGATTCTTCTGCCAGAATATCTCAATTCATTAAATCCACCGAACTTTCCGCCTCATAAATTACGCCTAAAAAAATATTGCATAGTAATGTTAATTAGGAATATAAGCATCAGTGAAGGATTATGTAATGGAACGAGATTACAAATAATTGATTTTTCAAATCATTTACTAAAATGTAAAATATTGACTGGAGATAAATGTAATAACATAATATTTCTTAATAGAATCACATTATATTGTGAAAATCTATATCCATTTACTTTCAAAAGACGTCAATTTCCTATTCGATTAGCTTTTGCTATGACGATTAACAAAGCTCAAGGACAAACATTAAAAACACTTGGAATAGATCTTCGGAGAGATGTTTTCAATCATGGTCAACTCTATGTCGCTATGTCTAGAGTAAGATCATGGGATTCGTTAAAAATTTATCTGGGAAATCAAAGGCATAATTTATTGGTTAAAAATTACGTATACACAGAATTATATTCAAAAAAATATCGTTTACTTTCAACTTCAGATGGAACCTGATATTTGTTTAATATATTTACTTGGCAAGCGATATTTGCAAATATATTTAAATATTTTATTCTAAACATGCATATTATTGAATTTGTGCGCGCAAAGCGCGCTGTCGTGTTCTAGTTTGATAAAATTAGCTTTTTTACATAGCGTCTTATAAAGACGTGCCGGATTCGATTAATATTGCTCGAAATTATGACACTTACAATCATGACTTTTTAACAACAAACGTGTTTTAGATTTATTAGAATTAGAGAAGTCAGAATCTATGTTATCTACGTTAAAAATAGTACTTAGTCATGCATTTTAAAGAGAAAATAGACATTCAAGTAGAAAAAACTTATTTTTCTTATTATAATGGTAGACATCTTGAACTTGGCAACGTCGTATGGGCTAGCTAATCTTGCCGAGCGCGCAAAATTTTAATGAAGTGTGGATAAGTGAGCATCTGATATGACAAATTATTGCTTTAAAATATGATTTCATAATAAACAATTTGTAAATAATAATATGTATATGAAATATAATAAAAATTTAACATTCATATTATATTATTAGGAGTATAACAAGAATAAAAATAATTGAATACATTTGAAAAATCTATTTTATTTGGTGAGTAGTAACGGTGCAACAAATAATAAAAAATAAAAATAAATAGTATAAAATTAAAACATAAAAAATGAGATTTCATACAATATTATTTTGGAATGAAGGTTAAAGCTTTGATAATGTTTTCTACAGTTTTCTTATGATTAGTGACTTGGGGTCGATTCCTTCTACATTTTTAGTTAGAAAGATTTTCACACCATCAGATCCTCCTTTTTTAAATATATCATATAACAACTGGTTATCGATGCCAGTTTTGGCAAGTTTTGTGATCATATTGAAACTACTGATTGATAGTTATCGTAAATTGACCAATATTTTGTATCGTTTTTGCTTGTAAAATAGATGAAATAATTCTCGTATTTTTTCAAATAAGATCACGTTCAATTTCAATTGCAGTAATTAATTGTTGTGATATGCGCATATCAACTAACGCGAGAACAGCTCCTTCCAAATACTGAGTGCCTAAGATGTCAATCGTCAGAGCACTCTGACTAAACTTTTTTTTCGCTTCCTTGCGATCTAGCATAACTTTTTTCATAATAATTTAAAGATCTGCAAAGTGTTTTACAATCATTCTGAATTAATCCAAAATATTTACTTGTGCGAGAAGATGTAATAGAACATTACTATCAAAGCTACAATAGGAAAAAATAGTTTATTTATTAAAAAATTTGCTTCAATAATCGTAATTTTATCGTGTAATATTTTTTATAGTACTATAAATTGTACATCTGTTTACACTTATTTGAAAGAATTATACGCTACAGAAATTGAAGAAATTTAAAAAAAATTTCGTAGCGCTGTATTAATTGAAACAGAGTTTACCGTCTGGCCGTTAGAAAACACATCACCATTTATTAACGTAACACCTGTAATTTCAGAAAGTTTCGGTGGGATGCCTTTCAATAGCATTGCGTATTTGCGAGAACGAATTTTCACCGAAAAATGCAGCAACCTGAAATTGTAAAATATTATTATTCATGTAAAAAATATATTGTGCGGAAATAACCAGATGTTATATATTATTTGAGTAATTTCAAGGTTCTTAAAGTCAGTCGTTTTGAAGTAAAAAATAATTAGTATTGCGTCATTATACAGTGTCGGCTAATAATAATTATGAAGAGGCAATAAATGTTTTGCTCCGACTTTGAGCAACCGTAACTCCTTCAATTTTCAAAAGCTTTTTTCTGGCTTCCTTAATTTTATTCAGGGGTGTTTTTACGAATATTAAAACGAGTAAGAAATTTCAGAAATTGTTGCACTTTTTCATTTTTGTTCAATCGGCTGTAGTTTTTTTAATATCAAAGATAGAATAATTCTGAAAAAAGATTTTGAAAGGAATTGAAAAATGCTATTTGAAACTATTTTTCAATAAATTTTTTCGTCAATTTATAGCAAAGTTTTGAGCTCGTTAAGATACCGATTTTACACTTGTATTATTGAAAAAATTTAAAAGCAAGTAAAAAATAACTAACGGTTTATTTTTTATACATAACTTTTTTCTTTTTTCATACATTTCAAGGTTCGTAATGAATAGTTATAATGACATTAAAATCAATAATAAACCGACGGTTATTTTTTACATGCTTTCTAAATTTTCTCAACAACACATATATAAAATCAATAACTTTAGAAGCTCAAAAATTTATTAATATTTAGCATTTCGTTATTTTTATTTTCTCCATTACTCTAATCTGGAAATTTATCAAACGTTGTATAAAGGCATAAAAAAAAATGTTTAAAGAATAAAAAAATACCTTGCAATTTTTGATTCATTATCTTGGATACATTTTGTTAATCATATTCAGTTTCATATGTCACTTCTTTCTTTTCAGCAGCAAGTGTTTTTCTTGAACTTTGCTTTTTCAAAAAGAGTCTTCTTAGCTTAAATTCTGTTGTTTCAACTATCTCAGCCCTTTTATATCTTTTGAAATCTTTTAACGTTCGAAATCTGCGAGTTCTTTTGCCAGGTGATATGCCTAATTTTTTGTGCAAATAATACACCCGCGTAAAAAAACTTCCAGGTTTCCTAAACATTAGCAAAACTTATCATGGGTAAAGTACGGTCAGTTATTTCACAAGAGAATTCTAAATTTCATTAAATCCTCTAGTTTTTTAGGACAAGTTTGAGGATATTTTTTACAAACATGATTTCTATTTTAAATGGAAAAAGTTATTTTTTACTTTTCCTTCATAAATTTATCGAACATTTTATTCAAATAAATTATTACTTGATTACTTTTAAACAAATATTATTTGAACTTAACATCAAACAAGTTATTTTTTTACTTGTTCTTTGAAAATTTGGATAACGTTTGTTGAAAATTGTTCTCAAATAAATTATTATTTTATTTTACTTTACTTGTCTACAGTGAGTTTGGATAATGTTCATTGACAGCTTTTCCCGAACAATATTAAGATTTACGAGTAGTCTACTTTTTCTGCGCAAGTTTGAATCAAGTTGGGTAAAACTTTATTCAAACTAATTTTGAAATAACTTTTTTTTTAATTTTCCATAAGAAAACTTGGCCAATGTTCATTAAAAAGTCATTCAAACATAATATGAAAATCATTTTTTTTTAAGTTATTTAAGATTTTTCCAAAAGTATCACTAAACTTATTTCAAACTTACTATCGAATAATAAGACGCATTATTTTTAATAGCTAAAATTTTGTTGAGAATAATACAATTTTTATTTTTATTACATACAGCGTTTATATTCAGTGGAATTTTTACAATATACAATAATATAGCTTTCTTTCTACATACATAATTTAGAAAATAAAAAACTTTTTATTTCCTAAAATTCGCGCAATGAAATGGCATTGACTTCAAGAAGTTCTCATTTCATGTACGAAAATCCGTAGTGTACTTTTAGTTTTGTAACGGAGAATCTCGGCTAGGCCGATTTCGTCCGTTTGGCTCTCGCAAATGTCTGTGCGCCGCGCCAAACTGAGAGTGTGTGCGTGTGGTACACACACTCATGCTTGGTTTTTGTTTACGAGGTGCTGTACACGAGCTGAGCTGACGACTGGAGCGATGGAGATGTGGAGATGACGCAGAAGAAAGGAGAGAGAGAAAGAGAGAGAGTGGGTAACAGGCGAGGTGCACGGGTGTGCGCGCGAGCAATTTGACGTGTTGCAGTACAGAGCAACGGAGAGGCGACGAAAGCAAAGACAACAGCAATCATCGAGCGAAACAACGGATTAAGGCAGCAGTATTATGGAGCAAGCGAGAGGACGAGCAAGAAGACAAACAGCTACGAAAGTTGATAGTTTAACGGCGAAAAGTGTTTTGTCGGGCATTTATTGTAACATTTTGTTTTAGACAGGGGATCGGCAGGCTAATCAGCCACCGATTCACCTTCGTGTTCGGATTTATTTTTGTGCCGCTCGTAGTGTATAAGCGCGAGATTGCCGTCTTATAACCTATTGTTGACGATTAAAGGATTAGTGTGTTAATCCGCTGTTGTGTTTATTTGCCGCTGTATCACTCCTCATCCCGATTTCAAATCTGTGCGTTTAACGTGTTTATGCTCGACGCGTTATTCAGTCGTGGGAACGTCTTTTGCCTCCCGAATCCCCGAATAAATAATTTGTGCCGACGGCCACGAGTAACCCAGACGGGAACGGTCGCAGATTCTCTGTTACAGTTTATTATATTAAAAAATTATGTATTTATAAATTTCATTCTCTTTAGAGAGTATTTGTACGTTCTAAATAAAAATTCTATCCTCGAATTGAAAATAATACAATACGCTTTCAATATTATTCATATTAATTACTGTGAAATTAATAACAATCAACAACTTGTTGTTCAATCAAATCAACAACTCATTTGTTACGTCTCAAGACGTATCTTTACTCATTTACATTCTTTAAAAGTGCAATCCCGAATTTCGTAAAATCAAAACTATATACACGTCCACCAGAAAACGATACGGCAGCAAAACATAAAGACCATACTCAGCATTACACAACACACAATGAACTCAAAAGGAAAATTACTCAACTACACAGAAACATCAGCGATTTATTGAGCACAAATTTATGTATATAAGATGAACCACCCGAAAGGTGATCAGCAATTATCGTTACTCCGTACACGTCAGTTCGACAATTGATGAATAAACTCTACGTATCGACGCTACAGTCGCGTGCAAGCCTGTTCGACAATTTGGCTAATTATTCAACTATTACCTGTCAAACTACATTATTTGATCTCAATAAATACGCGATCCATTAAAAGTGAGAACGTGCAAATTCATTATTGAACCTATCCAAATACCGAGATCTACGATACTGAAAGTACTCTAGAAACTGTAAGTACAACAAAATAAATAAATACATTCATTCTTATTCATACATCGTATATTATTCATTACTTGTGAGCCTCAATC